TCTCTCTCTCTCCCTCTCTCTGTCCCTCCCCCCAATGGCACTGTTTCTCTCAAAATAAATAAACTTAAAATTTTTTTAAAGATTTCAGTGATTCCAGTGTGTCTCCTGCCCTCAACTTTGCGTGTGTTTCTGTTTCAGGTGGTACCAGGGAGATCGGTTCTGCCCTGACGAGGATGTGCATGAGGCACAGAAGCATAGAAGCCAAGCTGAGGCAGTTTTCGAGGTGAGGAGCATATCCTGCCCCGATCGCATGTGCCCTTGCTGGTTTCAGGTTAAGGAGGCAGTGACTCGCCTGCCCACCTGAAGCAGCAATCATCTCCCCATAGCATCGAAGTCCCCACTGCCCATTGCTCTGCTCGCTCATTGAACGAGTATTCGTTGGTCGCCCGCTGCATGCCAGCACTGGCCTGGGTGCGGGGAATGTGGCGGACAACCAGCCTGCCTGGGTCCCTGCCCTTGTGGATCCTGCACCCCACTTTGGGGGTCTTCTCTGTGCTCCTGTGTGTCTCTGCTCGCCCTCCGCTGGTGGAAGAACGGTGCAGCCGCCCCCTACAGGAGCCCCTGGAGGAGCAGCTGTGGGTCCACCCTCCATGGAGGACAGCAGTAGCGATCGAGCGCCCCACGCTGCCAGCATGGGTGGAAATGGCAACGGCTGGCACCAGGATGTGGAGTCACCCGTGTTCCAGTCAGTGGGAGGGAGGGGGGCATTCTTCCAAGAAGATGGGCAGAATTCAGCACTCTCATACCATTCTGCTTTACGGATAGCATTCTGCTTTACAGATACGCCCAAGTGAGATGCCTCTGACCCTGGCCCTGGCTGGGCCACTGTGGGAGGTGGCAGAATATTCTGGGAAGTGCCTGGTCTTGGAGATGGCCAGGCCTGGGTTTGAGCCCTGGACTGGCCGTTCAGGTGCTGGAATCATGCAGGAATCATAGCTACTATAAAATGGGGATAATGGTCTCTAAAGGGTTGTTGTGAAAATTAATGAAACATCTACACATTTCCAGCAGAAAGTGCCTGGATAGCAGGTGATGACATCTGCCTGCCTTCCCTCCTGCTGGCTCCTGGATGGTGCTCCCCAGACCATGCAGCACCTCCTCTCACACTTGTCTCCCGGGTTTATTTGCAAGCCTGTGGCCTGCACATTTGAGTCATGAGGGGACACCAATTCAACGACCATGATTTATTGAGCATCTACTGTGTGCCAGGCACTATCTTAGTTAGGGAGTGTGGGGTGTAGCACTGAATAGGACCATGTCCTGTTCTCATGGGACTTACGCTCTGGGCACTATGTACACGTGACATGACGTCAGGGGCTGCCGAATGGCACCAGGGGAGGCACACGGTGAGGAGACGGGTAGCGGCCATTCGACCCTGGGTGGTTAGGGAGGGAGTGTTTTCCAGAGAGAGGTCTGAACAGACACCTGGAAGAAATAAGGGAGGGAGCTGTGTTGATGGCTGGAGGGAGTGTGTATGAAGGGGGGAGTGCCACGTAGACCCTGATGAGGAAAGGAGGGAACTGTACCGAGAACTTGAAGGTTTTCAGGAGGCTCTGTGATCAAAAGGCAGTCTGAGAACACCTTCTTAGTACATCTCATCAGTGCAATTCAGGCAATTTATGGGCACTTTCTAATTTTCCGACAGGATCTCTGTAAATGTCAGAATGTGTCCATTTTCCTTCCGTTACACGGACAAAAACCTCGGGGGTCCATGCCTTGCATGGTTCCTCTGGGTGGGGAGCTGCCTTTCCACGTGCTTATGTGTGATCTGTTTGGGACCCTGCACAAAATACAGGGAGTCCCTGGGGATACCCTCTGATCCAAGAGCTCATCATTCAGCTTTTCTTTCTCCAGGCTGTCCACAGTTAGCCTACAGTCATGACTATAATCCTGAATGCACATCAGACTCATGTGGCTCTTTTATGTATGTATGTATATATACATATATATATATATACACACATACATATACATGTATACATATATGTAT